ACAAGTTTTCTTTTGATAACCTACAATCAATAAATATTAAGAGACTCGAGATCAGGTGGTATGAAAAGATTTGACCATCTGTGGGTTAGTCTTCTGCTGCGACAACATCTTGTAAAATCAAAGGTCATCCATCACATGAAGGTTAAACACCTTGACCACTGACCCAGCCTATATTTGCTATGATTTTGCAGCCAGTTGACCATTTCTTGGTCCAAGAAGACCTAAGATGTTCATGGACATTCACTTAATAACCATTTCACCACCAGTAGAATAAACAGCAAAGAGATTCTCAATGAGCTCTATCTCTCAGTGAACTATATCACAAGACGGTCAAAGACAAGAGGTCAGTTTCATTTGAGGCAGGGTTTGCAAGGCAGGAAGGAACAGATGCATGCAACTTGTATCAGAAATATGATAGAGATGATATAAGAGGACAGCAGCTTCAACAGCAGCATCAACAGCAGCATCATCAGCTTGTTACACATCTATCACCACTCATCCACGGCACCCCTACACACGCTGTACACTAAGTACAGTCAGGAAACACGAGTTATCACCAGCTTACACACATCCACGGCTTCCATGTTATTTGAGTGCAGGAAAACCATTTTGTGACTATATATTAACATGTTATTAAGTTTTTCGACTTAAGTGAGTAAGTTTGGTTTAACGCTGCTTTTTGGAATATTCCATCAATATTTCAGTGGGAAACACCAGAAATGGGGTTCACACATTGTACCCATGTGGGGAATCGAACCTGGTCTTCGGCATGACGAGCAAACGCTTTAACCATCAGGCTACCCCACCGCCCCTATTCAATATTGGAATGAGACAATTGGGTCCTAGCATCACTGTTAATAGTATTACAGTTATACTTGGTGTCGGGTCACATTGGGATGAAGGAAGGCAATGAGACCGATGGTTTTAAGATCATTGTGATAATCCTTCTAAATTTACATGTTTACACCCAAATCAGCAGATCCTGCACAGCTATGGGATGCAAACATGACCAGTTTGGGATTAATATTCATTCATGCTGGTTTATCCGTAAAATGACTATTTCAAAAACACACAATTTACAAATGACAAATTGAGTCTATGTTTAACTGGTAATGGTATTTCATCTTTATCACAGATAAAAAGCCATAAAGTATAACGTTTTATCGCTAAAGTTTGAGCACAGGTATAGTGATGAGAAAGCTGAAATCATAATCAATGAAAATCTCTGATTTGGACCATGATCATCTGTTTCAGTCACACCTAAGGGAGGTAGCTCTGCACATCGACTCAGGCATCTTTAACCAACAGAGCCACCATCACATTTAATCTGAGTACCCAGCTACATAAACTGCCCAAAGATGCTGCTCTTTCCAATTAATCTACAATCATTAATATTGTCACACACCTTAAAATTCCCACTAACACTAATTCCTATGAAACTTTGTACACACATACAACTATAATCAAAACGAGTTTTGCTGCACTTGCATAACATAAACAATGAAACGTGCCAGGTGATGGACAGGTCCCTGACTGTACATTCACTGGCAAATCAACACAGACATTTTGAAAATACATGTAGCACTCACAAATCTGCAAGAATGTAACAGTAAAGCATCAAGTTACCATGGCACCACGAAGACACCATGTCTGTTATGCATGAAACCCAACCATGCACAATGGAAATATTGAAATGAAACCCGGTAGCCATATCAATTTGAGTGTACTGCAGTGTCGCTGATATCATGCTTGTCAGTCAAAAACAATGCCGATGCTTTACTGTACTTGGTACAACAACGAACTAAACATAAAGTGACAGTGTTCGAAATACAACTCTTATATGATGTGCTGGTTTTCTAATTCTAAGTGCCTGTTATAGGGGACAATATGAGCACATAACACCATCTCATGAAATAACATGAATATTCATATCTACACTTATTCTGATGATTATAATTATTTTGATTACAAATAATTCAAAATGACTTTCATTCCAAATTCAGAATATTTTTACAATCCAAATTTTACAATAACCACTGAAATATGATTACCAGTAACAATTCCTCTTTTTACATCTTTCCATGCAGAATGTTTCCAAATCTATGCTTATGTTGTGTAATTATCACGAGTACTTCTAGTATGTTTAGTAGATTTACTTTGAGCACACAAAAGTTAACACTAAACATCATAAAATTATTATCATTATTATAGGAATATGACGGCCCATATTTTATGAGAATATAAACAAGGGAATATACACTTTTCGAACACTGCTTTTGTCTACCATACAGAAGCGAAATGTCAAGTACCTCTTGCAGTTTTGTGAATCAACATCGTGCAACAAACGACTGCAAAATAGGAATAAAAGTATCATTGAAAACCCTGTCAAAACTTGGATTATTGACATCCACACAAAAAGGCACAACACACAGAATCAGCCTCTATTGGCTTGAAATAAGTCATTAAACAGTAAAGGGAATTTAGACAATAACTCAAATAAAAGAACAGGGTAAAGAAAGATTCTGAATGACACATTGCTTCCCCTTCATAATTCGATTATGATGAAGAAACAAACTACTAAACTATAACATTTGCATCTCTGATGCATCAAAGGACTCTCTAAAACATGAATATTACAACATGTCATTTTGTTTTGTCTGAATGTTTGTTGTTTTACATTGGTTTAGCTAAATGGTGACAATCTGTAAATAATCAAGTCTGAACCAGACAATCCAATGACTGACATAATGAACATCGATCCATGCAATTTGGATGCATGGCCCAAGTCAGCAGGTCTGACCACCCGATCCCGTCAGTCGTCTCTTACGACAAGCATGGGTTGCTGAAGATCAATTCTAACCCGGATCTTCATGGATTGGAATTATGCCTAGAAGTGAAGCATTGGTCCATTTCAGGTACAACACTTCTTGCAACAGTCTGGGCATCGAAAGACATATTCACATTTTCTTCTAGAGAAATGTACGTGATATGAAAGGTAGAATGTCATTGGTCAATTAGGACAAGGAAGGGACATAATCCATAGTAACCAATGGTGGGTCTACGGTCAGTTGACACAATTTAAGCCAAATCCTCCATGGAAGGAAACTGGACTTTTTTTGTCAGTTAACTCCCTTCTGTCAAGAGACTTATATTTCCTTGTTTCCCAGACGTGGCATTTGGGGCAAGCCTACATTATCTGGTTCACTTATTCGTTGATGTAACATGTGTGACATGGCTCACATTTAAACAAGATTATTAATCTGTAACAATCCCTCTCTGCTTGAAGATCTGAAGCACCCTTAACAGACGTGAATTGCCCACTTTCAATAAAGGATGTTGTGTTCTACTAGCTTCTAGGGGTGAAACGGTATACCATGGTATTGGTAGGACCACAGTATTTTGCCTTCAGTTTTGTATACCATAATGCAATTCCAAAGTTTGGTATTTTCGGTTTTCATACCGTCATTTCTATCTTTGTTCATTCAAAATTATGGTTATTTGTCTTCCATGTTATTAAACAATATAAGGTTTGGCTCTTGTCAATTTTCTGCATTATGATCATATTTTGAAAAAGCAATTTAGCTTAAGTTTGGTACTATTTTGACTTGAAAAATATTCAATTAAAAAAAACCCAAACCTCCACACAAAAATTATTCTCAAGGAGATGTCATACTGCTTGGGGTGAGTGAGTCAGTATGATTTTACGCCGCTTTTAGCAATATTCCAGGAATATCAAGGCAGGGATACAAGAAATGGGCTTCACACATTGTACCCATGTGGGGAATCAAAACCAGGTCTTCGGCGTGATGAGCGAACGCTTTAACCACTAGGCTACTCCACCGCCTGCCTGATCAGAGGGTTCACCCAACACAACCTGCTACAGAGGGTTTTTAGAGCTTCATGCAGAGAGGTAGCTTATCACAGTACAATTGGTCAGATATCACACGAAGACCAGACCAGTCATTTTCATCTATTTTCTTGCCAAGAAAAAAATGAGCAAAATGGATCAGCTGAGACCGTTCCAATTACAAATCAACAATTAAATTACGACAAGAAAAAGTTTGAAAGAATACATATAAAATCTCTGGTTAATATGTCAGCCAAAATTATTCCTGTGTTTTTACAGGATGTCAATTCCTCTCATGCTTTCAAACAAAATTAGATTCAGACAAAATATTATAAAACTGGTCTGTCCTCAGTATGATTTGATCACTTTTGTTTCACTTCAGAACTAAAGGTTTCAAAGTTTAATCACATTTACACATTCAACACACAAACTATATGTACAAAAACATTATAACCAAAATGAAATACAAAATTTCCTACAACTGCTTTCAAACAAACCCCTACTAACATTTAAACAATAACTTGAACACTAATCACATTGATTTTGAACCAATAATCATGATATTCAAGTCAATTTTTGAACCAATAATCATGATAATCAAGTCGATTTTTGAACTAATAATGACATATGTTTTATACTAATAATCACAATAATCAATTATATTTCAAATAATTAAGCAATGTTGAATAAACCACAGATGATATAAATAAAACATAACTGATTAGTTTTACAACAATATAAAGAGAGAACATGCTATATTTGGGATTACACTTTCTTATAATAGTACAGATTCTAGTACTTTTGTTCAGTTTTTGTACTTTTGTTCAGGTGAGTCCCATCCGGCATTCCAACCCACACCCTCAGTCAGGCACCTAATTGCCAGCACACAAAGTCTTCTGCCTAACCCGCTCGGCCACCTCATCTGACTTTGTGTGCTGGTGATTCAGTGCCTGGCTCTGAGGATGAGGGTTCGAATCCCGGACTGGACTCACCTGAACAAAAGTACAAAAATCTGTATTTTACAAAGAAAGTGTAATCCCAAACATAACATATGTAACATTTGACCACTTTCTAAATGGCATTGTCTATTCATAAAGAGAGAAGGTTGAAGAGAGTCTACAAAGGTATGACTACAGAACATCGAAGTACCTACCTCCATCGAATATTTCCACAGGAATGTGCACGCTTGAAAAAGAGAAATTGACCTTCTGTTCGAACCTCTCAGTGTATGCTAAAGGCTCGTTCATCATATCCTTTGCATTTTTATATTTGACCTCCTCTTTCTGAAACATAAAAACATGAGTTAATTACCACAAATCGTCTCAAGGTTATCATGGAAGAAGCTTTAACTACTAGACAACCCACCAACCCCAGTCGGTTACCAGTGTTACCAGTAGGGATACATCGATACTGTATCTAAGATGATACAATTATCGATACATTCAAAACTGTATCGATATTTTGTTTTGAAAGTATTGGTTTAAATATTGTTTACATTTCGCAATTGTATCATGTTTTTTTATGTTATGAGAGTTATAAATGATTATTTTTCATGCACAAAGATGGAAAATTAGAACTTTTTAATCTCTGAGAATAAAAATGATGTTTTCATGCACAATTATATAATATGAAATATTAATTTTCAAAATGTAACTAAATTTACGCAATAATGCCGCGGAAATAGGTATCGTGATACATATCGAATCGTGACATGGGCATCGCGATACGAATCGATTCATGAAACTTATGTATTGTGACATCCCTAGTTACCAGTAATACACTCCTAAAAAGTAAATAAACCTGGATAGGAAGTATAAGCGTTTATAAACTTTTCAAAGACAGATATCTTAGGAACGCATCACCTCGTTATCACCACCCCCAAACACAAAACATGGGATGCACATGCACAACACAGTAGCTCCATACACGTGTTTGGGGTGTCATTCTTGATTTGGACATTTCGAAGAAGGTCGATGAATCACTGTAGACCATTAATTTTGACCATCATCTTGCATCACACAGTTGTTAGTGTTTGATTCTACCCGTTTTTTGTTTGAAAATGAAAATCGTACACATGCAAATTTCACGGCATACACAGTCATCTTTCAAGAGCGATTGTACAAACAACTATGGTCATAAGGAAGTGCAAGTGGTGATGCACTCTCCAAACATTCATTATTATCATATCAACTTTGATTGACTCCGATATGTCTCCCAATGTTTTCAATTAAAAATGAAGTTCCCCTACTTTTTTTAAGAGTATAGTAAAAATACAGTGAAAGGAATGTTTCTTCATTTAACATCAAAACAAGACTTGTCCCACACTTTGGAGCATTATCAAGACTTACATACAACACAGAGGTAAATTACCACAAATATTTAAACAATAGAGCTTGTAGACTTGTAGAAGTCTCTAAGGCAAGAATTATCAGTGTAAAATATTTCTAGATTAAGAAAATATTTGTTTGTTTGTTGTTTAATGCTGCCCTCAGTAATATTCCAGGTACATAGAGGGGGTCTGTAAATAATCAAGACCAGACAAACCAGTGATCAAAAGCATGAGCTTTGATCTACACAATTGGGATACAATGACATGTGTCAACCAAATAAAAAGAACAACTGGCATCTTTATACTGTCCACTAGCCAGACTCGCATGTTATAAAGATGGAACAGTGAGTGAGTGAGTTGGGTTTTATGGTGCTTTTAGCAATATTCTAGCAATATCACGCCGGGGGACACCAGAAATGGACTTCACACATTGTACCCATGTGGGGTATTGAACCCGGGTCTTCGGCGTGATGAGCACACACTTTAACCACTAGGCTACTCCACCACCCCCTTTCAGTATGAAAAAACTGGGGATAAAGCATATGACCTTCCACACTGTGGTTAGACACCATGTCCACTAGACCAAGAAGATGGTCAGTTTAGATTGTGTAATACTATCTAGTATCATGACTATGAGTAAATATGCGTAATACCAAATAATGTTATTTTAGAATATAATTCTTTTTCTAATTTTGCCAAAGGCGTTTATTTCGGAATCAAGATAAATCCCTGTTTTATTATTTTTCATGTGCAATGTGTGGGGAATTGAACCCTTGCCTTCGGAATGATGAGCGAAAACTTCACCACTAGGCTACCCCACCACCCCAGAAGAAGGATTAACTACACATCCACAGATTTATCACTGAGCACAGACTAGAAGCAAGGTGAGGTTGGTTGGTTGGTTGTTTAACGCAACACTCAGCAATATTCCAGCTATATGGTCTGTAAATAACTGAGTCTGGACCAGACTATCCGGTGATCAACAGTATGAGCATTGATCTACGCAACAGGGATACGACGATATGTGTCAACCAAGTCAGTGAGTCTGACCACCCGATCCTGTTAGTTGCCTCTTACGACAAGCATGGATTACTGACGACAAATTCTAACCTGGATCTTCATGAGCTAGCGAGGCAAGGGCGAGTTATGTACGTCTTGTACTTTGAGCACACCTGTTTGGATACTTACATTAAGTGTGCCGTCCCAGATATGGCTGGCTGCTGCCTCTTCGGCCTTCTCCACAGAGTTCTGTAACAAATAAACACAGGTAATCAGAAAACGTCTTGTTGTTATTAGTGTCCAGATTTGATGGACTGGTGTCAAAAGTCACATTTCAAGAAAACTTTATATTTAATTACCCAGCATCGTCATACTGCAACAATATTCAGAACTCTCAGTCGATATTGCCAGTGATGGTTTAATTACATTATGTAGTCACATGATGCAAATTATAGTTGAACGCAAGTCTAAACAGTCAAGAACACAGTCCATAATCAGCGAGTTGATATAAGGCCAGACCAATTTTATTTATTGTTTTACGGATCTGCCTGTCGTATATTTTCAAGAATAAGATTTTTAAAAATTATTTTCCCTGCTCAAAAAATACAATCCTAATGTTTTTATTGGTCAAATATGTAAACTTACAAGAAAACATTTTTTAGATTTTTTTTTGCCCCATATACACTTCATAAATTGCCAAAAGTAAGATAGTTTGAGTATTTAGAAGGAATATTACTTTGGTGATTGTTTTATTTTTTTTCTCCTGCCTTTAGGTTTTCTGAGGACAAAAATCTGTAAAACAAGAAATAAAATTGATCTGGCATAATAAGAATAATAAAAGCGACAAGACCCTTTCCAAATTCCAGATCTGTAAGAAAATTCTGCTAAACGAATGGTCAATTATTGTAAAATTCCAATTACCTCATGATTGTTTAAGTGTTTGTTTGTTTGATTATTTGATTGTTTAACACCACAATCAGCAATATAAACATCTGTATGATGCTGATCTGTAAACAATCGAGTTTGGACCAGACAATCCTGTGATTGGCATCATGAGATATAGTGTCAGAGCACGTGTTTATGAATCGCTATTAAATAATGACGATACCAGGAGTTTGCAGAAAACCACATAACCATTTCCTACTGGGTACCCATTCACAGATTGATGAAGACAGGTATCTTCCTGTGACATGTGCTTTGATGTGGGGCAGGACTCCATTCAACAAAGCGACCACAGTACTACTATGTTAAATTATAATGACATTAGTACTAGGATCACTTTGGGGAACGATCCCCAGCAGCGAACCCCTCACAACTCTCAGAGGTCAAGCTGTCAAACACAGTCACCTGTGCAGCTACCCTCAGGAACCAACACTGCTTAACTTTGCCTGACATGTGATAAGTAGAGGATGTAACGCGAACACATACAGACTCTCGTCACACTTAAAAGTGACTACTGAGAGTCCCTCATAAGAGTGGCTGCCTGTCCATGGACAAAAGAATTTGGCATGTAAACAAAAACATGTCTAAAAGTGTTACCTATGATTTTGTTTGTTTACTGTTTAATGTCACACTCAAACAGCTGTATAACAGCAGTCTATACAATCAAGTCTGGACCAGACAATCCAGTGATCAACAGCATGAGCATTATCTACGCATTTGAGACATGATGACGCCGATGTAGTCAGCGAGCCTGACCATCCGATCCCATTAGTCACCTCTTACGACAAGCATGGGTTGCTGAAGACCTATTCTCAGTCTAAGTAAACTTATGCTCAGTATTATTTGTTACACTGCTATACTGAGTCTAACAAACCCTGGTACAAGTTTGCATCTATTCTAATCCAGATCTTCACGGGTGTGTTATCAATGAAAACAATGGAACTGGTGATCAGTGCGTCGATATTTAAGTACAAATAATTTCATGACAAACCTGCAGTGCGGCCATCTTCTTGTCCAACATGACTTTCAGTTTCAGGGACATGTCCCTGACCAGTGCTGCTGGATCTATCTTCACAAAACTTGCTTGAATATCAACCATGTTTCCTGTTGTTCGAGGGAATTCAAACTTCTGTGAATGAAAAAAATTGATTCAGAAGGATGGCATCAATCGACTGATAGTGATGATATCAACACTGAGGTACAGATGATACTTGAATCGTCGGTCCATGAGATCATGATACAATATTAACAGAACAGATACTGCCAAAATTACCTCCTGAAATTGCAGAAGCAAAATAGCACCACTTGATTGTTATTGTTTGTTGTTTAACACCCCTTAGCAATATTCCAGCTATATGGCAGCGGTCCGTAAATAATAGTGTCTGGACCAGACAATCCAGTGATCAACAGTATGAGCATTGATTCACGCAATTGAGATACGATGACATGTGTCAACCAAGTCAGCGAGCCTGACCACCCAATCCCGTTAGTCGCCTCTTACAACAAGCATGGGTTGCTGAAGATCAATTCTAACCTGGATCATCACGGTTCATCACCACTTGTAGGCAAGGTGAAACAAAAAGATTTGGATGATGAAATGCGCACTTACTATCAGATTCAATGATCAAACACTTTTATTCTTGTTTGCATTCATTCTATTTTTATATCAAACATTTTGCTGCCAAACAAATTCAGTAGGACAGGGGTTCAATTTTTTTTAAAAGCCACTTGCCACAGGGCAAGTGACTTTAAGAAAGTAACTTGTCCTGACTAATTTTCCACTTGCCCTGATTTTATGACATAATTATGATGATGTAATTATGAAAGAAGAAATCAACATGGTATTTGATGTTAATGTTTACTGGACTATTTATTGAAAAGTGATAAATAGCAAAGAAAGATAACTCTACTTTATTATCATTGCGAAATTTAATAGCTACATTTTGAGCAGATATGAAATTAAATCAAAGTTTTTTTGCAGTTTGAAACCATAAGTGGAAATTATCTAGTAGCCCACGGACAAATAAGATACCATTATTGGATTGCCCAAAATGAAAACTGACTTGTCCCGGGTGTCGGGCGATGGGATTTTTGAACCCCTGTAGGACCACTTATTTTGGTTTATTATAACTGTTTTAACACATTTTGACTAAAATATATGGCTAGTGGAATGGACAAATAAATCACAATGCCATTTCTATCAGTTCATTGTAAGTATCTGTTATAAACAAACTTTATTCCACTATATACACAGGAACAAAAGTATGAAGTTATTTTAGAGTTATATTTCAATGATTTCAACATTCTTGCTACTTGTGATGTATCGTGATACCTGTGGTATCATCATATCATGACATATATCATATTGCAAGGTATGGCAGTACTCAGTTCCAATACAATAAGTGAAGTTCTAACAGAGCACAACGCTTCTTTGGTGAACTTATAGAAGTGAGTGAGTGAATGTAGTTTTACGCTGCTTTTAGCAATATTCCAACAATATCATGGTGGGGGAGGGGGGACACCAGAAACAGACTTGACACATTGTACCCATGTCTTCAGCGTGACAAGCGAACACTGTAACACTAGGCTAACCCACCACCCCTGAACTTATACAAAACCTTTAAAGGAACCCAGCATGTTACAAAGGTCATTATAATGCCAGACCAATTTTATTTCTTGCCCATCAAATTTTTTTCAAGGATAAGAAAAAATTTTTTTTAAATTTCCCTGCTCAAAAATATAATCCTAATGTTTTTACTGGCCAAAAATGTAAACTTACAAAAAAGGATTTTTAGACTGTTTTTGCCCCATATACACTTCATACTTTTAGAATTTACATTATATATTAAAAGGAATATAGCTTTGACTGGTGATATTTTTATATATTTTTCCTCCTGCCTTTAGGTTTTCTGACGACAACATCCATAAAACAGGAAATAAATTGGTCTGGCCTAATGGAACAATTTTCTTCACTGTACAGATTTTTGTGGAAAACAATAGGGGTTTATCTAGGATTCTAAACTAAGGCAAATAGGAAAACAAAAATTATTTTGTTCAAACCCAGGATTGAAAAGAAGTTTTCACTTTCCTAAATTCAGAGGTATTTTCACTCTGTAATATAATATAAAACTAATCACTGAATAGTCTGCCTCTTCACCTTTATCAGTTATACACAATTTAACTCCAGAAAACTAGCAGATTGGTCATGATTGGTCATGACCATACCAACATAACCTTGGAATGTATTCCACACATTTTCGGCAATCTTGAAATCAGTTACCCAATTAACTGTAAGTTGCTTGCGTACAAATATGCAAAATCCCAGAATAACAACACTCTGCCTAGGTGCCCAATTTGTATTTTCTTTCTGCATGCCTATACATTTTTCAGGTCTTTATTTGCCAATCAAATACAGCATTACATCTACATAAATTTTGTTGGACTGAATAATGCAGAAACTGTCGCCTAAAACTTTAAAACATTGGTTAGTTTTGGCTAATAAATACTATACTGACATGACTTAAGGGAGTAAAAAGTATCGTAAGTCCCAAACAAAAAAATAAACACCCATGTAAATCAAACTATGAGCAAATATGCAGTGGCTCAGAAAATTGATCTGGAAGTCTAGAATACATGTTTACTTTTTTGTCTCAACATATTTTATTCCGATTGAAATGGATTGGGACAAGTAATCCAACATGATGATATCGGCATCCTGTGTACACAGTAATGGCAACCAGTTCAATGTACTGCATGAGTGAGTATGCTTTAATGCCAATTTTAGCAGTATTCCAGCAATACACAGGCAAGGGCACCAGAAACTGGCTTCACACATTGTATCCATGTTGGGAACTGATCCCTTGTTGGTGGCGTGGCAAAGCTAATGCTTTAACTACTGGGCTACATCAGAGCTGTTCCAATGTACTGCAATCTCCATGTCGGGAACTGATCCCTTGTTGGTGGCGTGGCAAAGCAAATGCTTAAACTACTGGGCTACATCAGAGCTGTTCCAATGTACTGCAATCTCCATGTTGGGAACTGATCCCTTGTTGGTGGCGTGGCAAAGCTAATGCTTTAACTACTGGGCTACATCAGAGCTGTTCCAATGTACTGCAATCTCCATGGTGGGAACTGAACCCTTGTTTGTGGTGTGGCAAAGCAAATGCTTAAACCACTTGGATACATCAGAGCTGTTCCAATGTACTGCAATCTCCATAATGGGAACTGAACCCCTGTTTGTGGTGTGGCAAAGCAAATGCTTAAACCACTGGGCTACATCAGAGCTGTTCCAATGTACTGCAATCTCCATGTTGGGAACTGATCCCTTGTTTGTGGTGTGGCAAAGCAAATGCTTTAACTACTGGGCTACATCAGAGCTGTTCCAATGTACTGCAATATCCATGTTGGGAACTGAACCCTTGTTTGTGGTGTGGCAAAGCAAATGCTTTAACTACTGGGCTATATCAGAGCTGTTCCAATGTACTGCAATCTCCATGGTGGGAACTGAACCCTTGTTTGTGGTGTGGCAAAGCAAATGCTTTAACTACTGGGATACCAGAGCTGTTCCAATGTACTGCAATCTCCATGGTGGGAACTGAACCCCTGTTTGTGGTGTGGCAAAGCAAATGCTTTAACTACTGGGCTACATCAGAGCTGTTCCAATGTACTGCAATCTCCATGTTGGGAACTGAACCCTTGTTTGTGGTGTGGCAAAACTAATGCTTAAACCACTGGGCTACATCAGAGTCTTTCCAATATACTGCAATCTCCATGTTGGGAACTGAACCCCTGTTTGTGATGTGACAAAGCAAATTATGCTTATCATCTCACACCCTTCTTCCAATTATTGCAGGTTTTACCAGAAGAAAACAGTTTCAGATGTGAAACTACTATCTATAACTCCATTTTCTGAATGCATGTTCCAGTGTCTGTTAGCCATTACTGTGATTTATCTACACCTCTTAAGAAGCTAACATTCTGCACCAAGCCTGCATTAAAAACCAGAAACAGTTCCCAAATGAATGAAGTAAACTTTTCCCATTCTCTCAACAGGAAACAAATCAAATTTGTAATAATGCCACGCTTTTTACCAGACATGCCTGCCAAAGCAACCTGGCTCAGAATCCTAGATATATTCTTGCACTTCAATATTAAACTCATTAAACTAAAGAAATAGTTAAATATTTTATTGCATTAACATGATCTATTATAGTTTTTCAAAGGTTTCATTATCCTCACAAATGGTTTAGAAATGTATAATGAATTATATTTTCATTAATATTATAGGATATTTATATAGCACACATATCCACGCAACCAGCACATGCTCAAGGCGCTGGTATGACGGCACATCGTATTATCAATCTCAACTCCCTAGGGAGTATACAACTCTTGCAGCCACTAGGCGCACAGAGTTATTGTGGCTTTCTCATCCTAACAAGGTACCCATTGACAGCTGGGTGGACTGGGACACATAGTCACAGTACTTTGTCCACGTTCACTGCACATTGCTGTACCCACAACTAGGTGATTGCACGTATTCATGTGGCCACCATCTGGTGATATACCAATGGATTCGTGGGTTGTTTTAAGTGCAAAGGGTTGTGTACTGTACACTAGGGGTTGTGACAACACTGAAAGAGTCTGCACACAAAGTTGACTCCAAGGTTTTTACACCCAGTCACAGGTGGGCTCGATCCAGACACCTCAACCTCGCTGGATACTAGCCTGGTGCCTTAGCCAGCTCGCCCACCACGCGGTGTCAGGGTAACCAACTACTGTATTTCAATTACCATGGTTACAAGATTACTTGTTGCACCAATTTGTTATTCCAATTTGCTGGTTTATTGGTTTTTGATTTTTCAAGAACAGGCGGTCTTCAATGAAAAAACATAAAATTCAAATGCTCTGTTCTCTTTTGGGCATTAGAATGTTTTAACAAAGCCACACACTGCTAGGGGAAACAGGTTTTAGGTATGAATGGTGGTTGAGCAAACAATTTACAATCATTCCCTAATTTGTGTCTGTCTGCGAGGAATTGTCTGTGAAGACAATGTACTGTTTTAACAAGATTTCCCAATTTCGCTATTTCAAACAATAAAGCCCCTTTTATCATGCTATATAATAAATGTAGAAATTTCATCCATTAAATCACTTTATTCAATAAATCATTGTCCAAGATATTTTAGATAAAAAAGAAGTTTAATCCATAAAAATATCTTATTTATTTAAATAAAAAAAGAAGTTTAATCAATAAAAATATCTTACGTACATCTAAATACAACTTCTAAATGCCAATAAAAGACATCAATAAATCACTGGTTCTAAACTAATGGTGATAATCCAGAATTGGTGGTAAAACTCTCAAGTATCAATCTTAACAATTTAAAAGGCAAGTTACAGTAAATAACCAGTTTGCGTTATGTTTTGTGTTGAACCACTTTCCTTACCTTTATCAAACACATTTCACTTAAAATGACAGGGGGGCGGTGGTGTAGCCTAATGGTTAAAGCATGCCCGTCACGCTGAAAACCTGGGTTCGATTCCCCACGTGGGTACAATGTGTGAAGCCCATTTCTGTTGTCCCCCCTGCTGAAATATTGCTAAGAGCACCGCAAAACCAAACTCACTCACTCGCAGTATTCCTTATCAACCAATTAGTATCCAAGCTTCAATAAAACAAATGTCAATATGTGTTAGTGACACATTTAAACATGTTCAACCAGCGTATCTAATTTCTGTATCACCAGATCAAACTTCAACTATTGGTTTGATACCCAAATACTAAAAACTACACCGTAACAATTTTGTCATGTCTGAGTTCCATGGTATCCAAAACAGAAGGCGATGTAAAGCAAAAATCTAGCATCAAGGGTTTAGTCTCTATTCGCCTACATCTAAACTTCCTTAACACTAAGCTGTGTAAGCATATGTGATATGTTTTATGATGTAAATATCATTGTGATCGGAAAATGGCTAAATAACAGATTAAATAAATAACAGACAAATAACAGAAATAAATTCTTTAAAAAATGTCTTTTTGTCCTTCAACTACTTCAACTAGAAGAGTCCACTTTTAGATCATAGGGGTGCCACTAGTTTACCATTGCGTAATCAACAGTCAACAGACCCTGAAATGTTGTTTTACGACTGTAGGCGAATTGGGATGTAGGTGAAATGAGAACATGCCGCATCAAGGTAAACACAATTGCTGCCATCCTTTTTCAAGGTGCAAAGACCCTGGCGGTGACAATATTTCCCTTGATACCATTTTTGTAATTACAAGCCCCTGCGTCTACAAACAAATGGGTACCAACAAAGGAATATTTGTTTTCTGTGTATTTTTCTGCTGTAAACAAAAGTTTCCAAACTGAAAGCTTGCATTAGTCTGTCATACAGACCCTGAAACAAATATATCCAAGAAGACCCATGCAAGTCTAGAATATGTCGCAAATCCAGATTTCTGAAAATGAAAAAATGTCTCAGGACTCCTTTTCATTATATTTTATGATTATTTTTATGAACAGTTTCTTTCCATAAAATATGTTCAGTACAGAGACGAGATGTTAGTCTAAGCTTGCATCTGATTGGCTCAAGAATCCACAGATCCTTCATTTTGATTGGGTGGTCGAAGTTCAGTCAGTGTTCATGACATAACCAATAACCTTCAATGACCTTCATGCTCCAAGGTAATGTAGTCAGAAGTGATATGATTTTCATATTGCTGTTTGTAATGCTTCAATATTTATCTGACATTTGCGACTTACCCGTTCAACTGTATCTATTCCGGTGAGTGTAGAAACATGGGTATTCCAAAATTCACTGAGGTTTTCCGACCACCTTCTCACCCTGAAAATTAAACCGATTCCTTCATAAACATGATGAGAGACACAAATTATGAAAATAACAAAGATACAAGGCCAGGGGCCGTGACTGTAGGCAGGACCCGTGAAGATCCGGGTTAGAATGAACCTTCAGTAACCCATGCTTGTCGTAAGAGGTGAATAACAGGACGGGGTGGTCAGACTCGCTGACTTGGTTGACACATGTCATCATATCCCATTTGAGTCTAATGATACTCATGCTGTTGATCACTGGATTGTCTGGTCCAGATCTAGCGTGCCAAGAGGATTAATTAGTGTATTGGATATGGGTCCTTGTTTGGACCACTCATACCCATGCCGGTTTAGACAGTGTTAATGACAGTCAAAATTGCTTGTTGGGACCGGAAAGTCGTGCCGGAATACGGAATAGACAGGTGCCGGATTAGACAATGTTTTAATGATCATAATATCGTTGTAAAATGGCGGGACCAAACTTATATGCCAGTTTTGACAGTGTGCCAGATTAGACAGGTGCCGGTGTTGGCAGGTTTCACTGTAGTGTGAATGGCAGGCGCTATAAGGGTGGGCTTACCCTTTCTGTGAACACCTGGTGTCATCACTGATATGCAGTGATCCATTTATATAATTTTCACGTCTATTTCCCTCTTTATATCAAAGAGAATTTCTCTCTCAGGATAGTCAAGACTGGGTGTTCTTTCACACTGACGTTTTATATTGAGACAGCATGAATACATAATAGGAGTGTACATCAGACTATTCAAGAATTGCAATTGTTTGCCCTACAATATTAAATATTGATAGGAAATAGACAATGCCATCAGTATCACTGACAGTATGCAGAAAAATTGTTATTATCAGCAATTACAATATCTTAGCAATAATACGTAAACAGTTTTGAAACTTGCCTACTCGAGATACTTTCAGTGTTTTCAATAGTTACAGGTGGAAGAATGGCAACCTTTGACGTCGCCAGTAATATTTTGTTCATTTCTATTACACCAATTAATATAATCTTAAGCTTTAAAACTGGTTAACTACCATCACAATAGGTGCAATAGCTGGCAACTAGCTCTCTACATTTGCAATAGTATGCTGCTATGGTAATACGATCCCACTCATTCAAATATCCCTAAAGTCACCCTTAACACACATGGCATTGTGTTAAAACGTGTCAAAATATCTGATGGTAAAGGTTTTCAGAGGATATTTTGTTGAAAATTACTTTTCTGTTTAGTTCTTAAATAAATTTCTTTTGTTTTTTTTTCAGAGGGGGATGTTTGGGAGTGGGGGCAGGGTTAGTGCCAAATCAACAGGTGTTATCTTTGAACATATTCTCAAAATATATCAATTATTATCCATGTCTTAAAAATCTAAAAATCTCCTCAGTTTAAATTTCAGCTAATATTTGGACATAAATATAATCTTTCATCCAGTCCCAAAATTAAAAATATCCCCAAAACATCCTAGAAACCTACTTCAATATTTAGCCAAGTCTAGATTTCTTTACTTTTAGGCAGAAAAGTAAGAAATTCTGTGGGCTGCTTCATATCAAAAGACCATCTAACAAATAAATTCCCAAAAATATTTTCATTTCTGAGAATAAATGTTAGTCTAATCAATATCATATGAAAATATCGTTCATTACAAACAACATGAGACAGAGTAATGCTGTATTAATATCGCGTTTGCAGTATATAGGCCTACATACTTACATAACATATAACATTCGACCCTCTTGCCAGTGACAATATTTTCGCTGACAGGCACCTAATGGCAATTGTCTCAATACAAGGTAACAAATACACCGTCTCTAGACTATTATGGAATCTGCGAATTACTCAAGCTATAAATAGACCATTCCTTCTTCATATCGACCGACTGCGGTTGACACAACGTAACGGTACTGATTTACGCTAAATAGAGATGTAATTACATTGCAAAAACATCTCACACAAATATTTAATCAAAATTAACCAAATATGCCCGATTCACGTACATAAAACACAGAATAGGCGCAGAAGAAAGATTCTAGCGAAGTATACCTCGATGCCATATATACACTAGCCGATTCCTTATATTCAACAGTCGGAGAATGGAGTATTCGTCGACGATCGTTAAACTATGACTTAATTCCAACCCTTTTGACACATATAGAAATAAACGTCCATCACACTTAACCTACCTTTCTAATGGTGGCTTTTCCAGTGTAACGCATCGTATCAATCGGCTGGCAATTATTGAAAATAACACATAAACGAGAAGCCAGCCTCTCAGTGGTGTCGCCATTTTGGTTCTCTCTCTTCAGCCTCGCTCTGAGTCAGGCCCAGAATCTGTACCAAAAGAGAAATACGCCGTAATTGCTAGTAATGGCACCTGCAGAGAAAGCTTCTGTTGGATTACACACAGAACTGCGTGTACGTAACAAGCTATTTACATAGGCATGTCGCTCACAGCCCTGCTAGTGGTCCATTCAGTAAACCATCCAGTGACGAGGCTCTTAACGATTTTCCCAGCTTCACCGAACCATCACGCTGACTGAGTGCATTTCATCTGTCCATGGACCATTTATCGATCTCGCCCTCTATATTATAATCCCTACGTGTGATTCTGATAGGGCAGTCATTCTTTTCATTACATTTAAGGATGAAGATGACATATGGGACTTTCACTTTGCGGTGAATACATCCAAAGACATGCCAATGACATTGGGTGAAATTGATAGCGCTCGTGGCGCACGGGAATCATGCGTTTTGCGTGCACGGGTCAACATGTTGACGGTTTGCCCCACCTGTTTGATATGAACATCTGGCGCCACGTGCCACACATGCCCGGCAGTAAAACAGCGATGAAATCAGCTGGTAATAAACACATTACAACCAGCTAACATTAAATCAATTAGGTCAAACGCCATCTTTCATTCCGTTTTGATGTCCTATGCACACATTCATAAACCAAACGTTTAATCAGTTTATTAAGATCACGTCAAATTTTTCTCTCATGTTATGATCACCAAGCAATGTTGTAATTTAATTAATACAAACGTTCACAAACATCTGTGTATATTTGATCACGATATCGATATATTTTCCCCGTCTGGTTAAATTAATATCAATGACGCTGGTAGTTTTACAACAATCCCGAATAGACGTTAAACAGTCGCTTATACACTACCGAGCAAATGAAACATACACTTGGAAATTGGACAAAAGCATTACAAACGTTACTTGGCCGAAAACAGTCGTTGAAACACTACAAACGTAAGCTAAAATTCAAAATTATAATATCAGAGACCATATAATACTATATACAAACCGGCGAATGCCTCCATTTATGCGTTAACTGTACACTCGGCTAAGATAGCATGTTCTCCCCTTCCCCTCCTTGTCCAAACTGAGAATCTACCTCTACATAGACTACAACACGTATCAAATTACATATATTCGTTACTGGCAGTAGATAATATAGGTCCCATCTGTACGAACGGAGGAAATTGAGACACCTGTTTCATTTCCTAATTCATAGCAATTTCCCCAGTCTGTGATACAGACCCTGAAATAAATATACTCAACATAGACCATGCAAGTCTATAATGTGTCAAACTAGATTTTTTTGCAGTTTCAGTCTCAAAATTAGGAAAGTATCTGGAGCTTTATTATTTTTATCAATAATTTAATAACTTTTTTTTCTGTAAAATATTTTCGTTTCAGAGACTAAATGCTACTCCACGAATTTCTATGTATCCAATACATTATTCAATATCAAATAACCAATTTTTGGTTGTTTCATTTTCATCACCATTAGACATGGGTGTATGTTTGTTTTGGCAACTATATATTTTTATCACCAATTCCTCTAGGATGGGTGGGGTAGCCTAATGGTTAAAGCGTTGGCTCGTCACGCCGAAGACCCGGGCTCGAATCCCCACATGGGCACAATGTGTGAAGCCCATTTCTGGTGTCCCCCGCCGTGATGTTGCTGGAATATTGCTAAAAGCGGCGTAAAACCATACTCAGTCAGTCAGTCCTCTAGGATGGTATTTATTTGTCGTCGGTACATCCTCCAAGTGATTGCCTGGTACCTCGCGAGTCAATCCCAAGATGTATATTTGTATATTTTCAGCATTAGAGTGAGTTGGGTTTCACGCCGCTTTTAGCAATATTCCAGCAATATCACGACGGTGGAGACCAGAGGGCTTCACGCATTGTACCCATGTGGGGAATTGAACCCTGGACTTCGGCGTGACGAGCGAACGCTTTAACCACTAAGCTACCCGACCACCCCATCGGAATTAGAAACCCACCAACTACCAGCAGCACGACTTACAACATACAACATTCGATTTCTTAACAACAGGTAAGCCCACAACCTGGCTCGGTGTGTACCATGTGGTCGTGTTTCCAGCACTTTAAAATAGCTCTGGCACGAAGATGGCTTAGTGGACATGGATCCGTGTCCCGAAATAGTCAATAGTCTGAAAAAGTACCAAGTCAAAGATTAGCAGCGCAAGCAAATATTAAACAGATCTTGATTAAGCTTACCGATCCGGTGCGGGGCGAGGGCTGGTTGTAAATGAGCGTGCGAGACTACGGGCGATTATAGATTCTGCTCTGCGGGCGGCGATAGTACATATGGATTTATTTACAATGGTAGCGAATGACAGTTATATTTAGTACTGAAAGATGGCTACGTCGTGCCAAGGCAGACCCCCCTCCCCCTCTCTCTCCCCCATCATCTCATGTAATCATCATTGCATTTAATCGCTTTTTAATATGGAACACATGTTCCGCGTCTGTTTCCATTTGTTCAACCACTGTTTATCAGAAAACTCTAATTACAGCGGGTTATTTGTAAATTAAATGGCATTTACATCGTTCACAATAAACAATATTCCGTTAACGTGCATCGTTTTATGGGTTCAAAGCATTGTCTTGATATATGTCTGAATTTTCTTTTGCAAAAAGTACAATTATTTTGTTTTATCACATCAAAATATCAATCTGTAAAAAGTATCCAAATGATTTAATTAACATAACTATCGTAAAATGTTCGCAATGACACTAAGTACTTGTTTCAAATAACAAAATGTCGAAGTGCATACCTATAAAATATATGGATTTATGGAATTTATGTTACAAACATATTTTAAATATGTGTTTTCGACAAGGAGATGCGGAGGGATGGAAGAACGCCAATTCCACCCAAGAAGTATGTTTTTTGCAGCCTAAATGTGTGATTTTCATTAGAAACATGATTCAATAACACCACTGCTAATTTGTGGGATGTCCGTATGCAAGAAAACCTCCCATGGGAAACATGTCTTTCGACGTTCAAAACTTAAGAAAACCCACGGGAAAAGAGACGCGAAATCAAATGCATTGTAAGCATTGTTTTTTCCTAATATCTAATCACTGACGCAGATTGAATAAATCTCAAACGAATGGAAACAGCCGTAATCATATAACATGCTAACAAAAAGTGGCAGCAGTTCCCTACGAATCTAATTTGTGGAGAGAAATGAGATTGTGAAAGTCCCACCGGCCTACGTCACGTCCTGTGGAGGCAATCTTGTGCGTAGTTGAAAGGCAGAGCCACCAAAGAGAGAAAAGAGATTATACCATTCGATGAGAATACAATGGAAGAATTCTTATGATTTAAATCACATTTGGAGATGAGTTATGCATTGACCGGATCATCTGCGCTAAGCGTGGCATCATTCATGGCCATCCAATGAGGTTTTGCGTCACATAACCCAGAATTATATACGCAGCGGAACCTCTTTAATCCTAACTGTGATATTTTTCGAAAAAATCGTCCAGTTTGAGACATGTCCGGATTAAACAATTGTGGATACGTAGAAACGTACCTATAACATACGACCTCCCTGACATTTGTTTAGAGAGTGAGTGAGTTTAGTTTTACGCCGCTTTTAGCAATATTCCAGCAATATTACGGCAGTGATACAAGAATTGGGCTTCACACATTATACCCATGGGGGGAATCGAATCCGTGACTTAGGCGTGACGATCGAACGCTTTAACCACTGGACTACCCCCATCAGACCCCATTTGGGAGGGGTTAAATTTGCGGTTAAAGAGGTCCGGGTTCGATTTAAAATATGGATGCATATGAATCCCGCTACAGATACGATCCGGGTTATTGCTGGAATATTGCTTATCATATATACATGTATAACATATGTTACATTGCTTATGAGTGACACATTTTGTACTTTTGCAAAGTAATGAGACCTTCCATATTTCTAGCTGGTTTCCGAATTCGTCGACTATAGAAATATATATTGAAATTTATCGGGAAAATTATTGCACGATATTTTTCAATGCTACTACGATAGAACGGTTTAGATTTATATTAATAGTCTTTAAACATTAGGTATCGACTGAAATGAAACACTGTCTAAACTGCAGTGGGATATTGGAAAACAGAGGCAGTGAAGGATTTTGACAGTGTCTAATTCAATTGCAAGTTTCTATTTCAGGAACCAGTGAAGCCAGACGTTTTATATTTCTATCTCCCCCGAGAAGATGTGGGTTAGAATTGGTCTTCAGTAACCCATTCTTGAGGTGACTAATGTGTTCGTTTGTTCAAGCTCGCTGGCTTGGTTAATGCATGCCATCGCATCCCAATTGCGTAGATTGATGCTCATGCTGTTGATCACTGGATTGTCCAGATTCGATTATTTACAGACTGACGTCATATAGCTGGAATATTGCTGAATACGGTGTAAAACCTAACTCACTCACTCACCCAATTGCGTCCATATTGTCAATCAACAGATTGACAGGTCCACGCTTGATTATTTACAGACCGACGTCGTAAAATATTGAATATTACTGAGTGCGGCAGAAAACAACAAACAAAATCTTTCTTCCTACCTAGTCATACCCACTAAAGCCTCCTAAATTGTTACATTTTATATCTATTTCAATCAACCGACCTGACTTTTATCAATACAATCCGAAACCAATCCAAAACTCACTCGAATGTAGGTTGAATCTAACATTGTCGCACTATGGTTGTCAACGGACTTTGAAAAAAATCGATGTTTGCCACCACGCTGAAACATATAATGTACGACTAGAGTGAGTGAGTGAGTTTTGCGCCGCTTTTAGCAATATTCCAGCAATATCACGGCGGGGGAACTCCAGAAATGGGCTTCACACATAGTACCCATGTGGGAATCGAACTCGGGCCTTCAGCGTGACGAGCGAACGCTTTCACCACTAGGCTACGCCATCGCCCCCTTGTCGTAAGAGGCGACTAACGGGATCGGGTGGTCAGGCTCGCTGACTTGGTTGACACATGTCATCGTATCCCAATTGCGTAGATCGATGCTCATACTGTTGATCACTGGTTTGTCTGGTCCAGAATGGATCATGTAGAGACCGCCGCCATATAGCTGGGATATTGCTGAGTGAGGCATTAAACAAACAACCAGAACTCGGAAACCAACCCAAGTCAGCAATGGTCATACAGAATCCTATTCAACTTAACAAGCTTTAAAACAATAACGTCTTTAAGAACTGCATGTACAATGTTTACACACAGTAGCTTAGATAATTTGTGTTTTAGAGTAAACTTGCCACAGGTGATGTTTACAGTAGAGAAGTTGATCACACAAAGCGTGGCAGGTTTTCAATCGTCTCCACGTCCCTTAACCGGGAGTAGCTACATCGACGTCCGTCCTTCTCTTTTATT